CATAAAATTGCCTAAAAGTGTTATAGTATACTGTGACATAAAACCTCATAGTTATAGTTGGGCATATAAATGTGAAAAAGTGTCATATCATTTTAAGTCAAAAATGTCAAAAAAAAAAAGTCATAAAGTATAGTAAGCAAAAAACTGTCAAAAAAACGTCATAGAATACCAAAGTCGTGAAAATATCAAAAAACTTCTTAGTATAGTAAGGCATTAAAGCGTTATGTATTGATGTTTAAACGTCAAAAAACATCAAAAAACGTCATAGTATAGTTAAGGCATAAAAATGCAAAAAACGTCATAGTATAGTAAGGCAAAAATTGCTAAAGTGTTATAGAGTATACTGTGACAAAAACCTCATAGTATAGAGTTGGGACATATAAATGTTGAAAAAATGTCATATCATTTTTAAGTCCAAAAATGTTCAAAAAAAAAAAGGTCATAGTATAGTAAGGCAAAAAAACTGTCAAAAAACACAGTCATAGAATACAATACAGTCGTGAAAAAATATTCAAAAACAAATCTATAATAGTATAGTATAAGTAAACATTAAAATTAATGTAAATTGTAATTATATAACGAGTCAAAAAACATCAAAAAACGTCATAGTATAGTAGTAAGGCATAAAAATATGTATCAAAAAACGTCATGAAAGTATAGTAAAGCATAAAAATGTCAAAAAACATCCCAATAAGTTTATAATAGTAAGGCAAAAATTGGTATAAAAGTGTTATAGTATACTGTGACATAAAAACCTCATAGTATAGTTGGGCATATAAATGTGAAAAAATGTCATATCATTTTAAGTCCAAAAATTGTAAAAAAAAAAGTCATAGTATAGTAAGGCAAAAAAACTGTCAAAAACGTCATAGAATTACAAAGTCGTGAAAATATCAAAAAAACATCTTGAGTATAGTAAGGCATTAAAGCGTTATATTGTTCAACGTCAAAAAAACATCAAAAAAACGTCAATAAGTATAGCATAAGGCCATAAAAAAAATGTCAAAAAACGTCATAGTTATTGTAAGGCAAAAAAATACTAAAAAGTGTTATAGTAATACTGATTGACATAAAAACCTCATAGTATTAGTTGGGCATATAAAATGTGAAAAATGTCATATCATTTTAAAGTCAAAAATGTCAAAAAAAAAATCTAGTATAGTAAGGCAAAAAACTGCAAAAAACGTCATAGAAACAAAGTCGTGAAAAATATCAAAAAAAATATCTTAGATAGTAAGGCATTAAAGCGTTTATATTGTTAACGTCAAAAAAACATCAAAAAAACGTCATAGTATAGTAAGCATAAAAATGCAAAAAAGTCAAGAGTATAAGGCATAAAAAATGTTCAAAAAAACGTCATAGGTATAGTAAGGCATAAAAAAATGTCCAAAAAACGTCATAGTATAGTAAGGCATGAAATTGTCTAAAAGTGTTATAGTATACTATGACATAAAACCTCATAGTATAGTTGGGGCATATAAATGTGAAAAAATGTCATATCATTTTAAGTCAAAAAATGTCAAAAAAAAAAGTCATAGTATTAGTAAGGCAAAAAACTGTCAAAAAACGTCATAGAATACAAAGCGTTGAAAATATCAAAAAACATTCTTAGTAATAGATAAGGCATTAAAGCGTTATATGTTTAACGAGCAAAAAACATCAAAAAAACGTCATAGTATAGTAGGCATAAAAATGTCAAAAAAAACGTCATAGTATAGTAAATGCATAAAGATGTCAAAAAACGTCATAGTATATAGAAGGCATAAAATTGCCTAAAAGTGTTTAATATACTTGACATAGTGACATAAAACCTCATAGTATAGTTGGGCATATAAATGGGAAAAAGCGTTATATCATTTTAAGTCAAAAAATTGTCAAAAAACATCATGGTATAGAAAGTCATAAAAATGTCAAAAAACGTCATAGTAAAGTAAGGCATAATATTGTCAAAAACCGTCATAGTATAATAAGGCAAAAGATTGTCAAAAAAAGTCATAGTATAGTAAGGCAAAAAAATTTCAAAAAAGGTCATAGAATAGAAAGTCGTGAAAATGTCAAAAACCATCTTAGTATAGTAAGGCATTAAAGCGTTGTATTGTTTAAAGTCAAAAAATATCAAAATACGTCATAGTATAGTAAGGCATAAAAATGTCAAAAAAGGTCATACAATAGAAAATCGTGAAAATGTCAAAAAACATCTTAGTATATTAAGGTATTAGAGCGTTGTATTGTTTAAAGTCAACAAATATCAAAATACGTCATAGTATAGTAAGGCATAAAAATGTCAAAAAACGTCATAGTATAGTAAAGCATAAAATTGCCTAAACGTGTTATAGTATATGCATAATATTATCAAAAACCGTCATAGTATAGTAAGTCACAAAAGCGCCATATTATTTCACGCCAAAAAATATCAAAAGATATCATAATATAGTAAGGAATAATAATGTCAAAAAACATCATAGTATAGTAAGGAAAAAAAATTGTCAAAAAAAGTCATACAATAGAAAGTCATGAAAATGTCAAAAAAGGTCATAGTATTTTAAGCCAAAAAAACATCAAAGTAAAGTATGGCAAAAAATTGACAAAAAACGTCATGGTATAGAAAGTCATAAAAATGTCAAAAAACGTCATAGTATAGTAAGGCAAAAAAATTGTCAAAAAACATCATAGAATAGAAAGTCATGAAAATGTCAAAAAACGTCTTATTATAGTAAGGCATTGAAGTGTCATTATTTAAAGTCAAAAAATATCAAAAAACGTCACAGAGTAGTAAGGCATGAAAATGCCATAAAACATCATACTATAGTAAAGCATAAAATTGCCTAAAAATGTCATAGTAAACTATGGCATAAAACGTCATAGTATAGAAAGTCATAAAAATGTCAAAAAACCTCATACTATAGTATGGCATAAAAGCGACATATTATTGAAAGTCAAAAAATATCAAAAAACTTCATAGTAAGTTAGGCTTAAAATTATCTAAAAATATCATAGTATACTATGGCATAAAAGTTCATAGTATATTGAAGCATAAAAATTTTCAAAAAAATGTCATAGTATAGTTAGGCATAGAAATGCGAAAAAACATCATATTATTTACAGTAAAAAAAACTGTCAAAACATGTCGTAGTAGAATAAGGCATTATATAGTAATGCAAAGAAAGACTTCCTACACCATATAGAAAAATCCCAACTATGAATCAAACCCAGTATCTTCACACTGGGAAGCAACAGTTCTAACCACTGTTCTGCTGTGCCTCCTTATCAAAAAGTCACATTATAGTAAAGAATAAAAATATCATAGTAAAGTTGGCATGAAAACGTCATAGTATAGTGAGGCATAATATTCCCAAAAAACGTCACAGTATAGACAGGAAAGAAAATGACAAAAACTTCATAGGCAAAAAATGTCAAAAAACAAATCAGGATTGAATACATAATCTTCGCACTGAGAGGCAAAAGTTCCAACCCTTTTATTGCTGTGCGTCCATGTTAAAGGTTAATTGTAATAATGCATGAAAATGTCATAGTATAATACGGCATAAATATGTCGTAGTATAGTAAGGAGAAAAAAAATGTCTAAAAATGTCATAGTATACTATGGTATAAAACGTCTTAGTATAGTTAGGCATAAAAATGGGAAAAAACATCATAATATAGTAAGGCATGAAAATATCAAAAAACGTCATAGTAAAGTAAGGCATAAAAACGTCATAGTATGGTAAGACAAAAAAATGTGCAAAAATGTCATAGTATAGTAAAGCATAAAAACATCATGGTATAGTAAGCCATAAAAAAGTCATAGTATAGTAAGGCTTAAAAATGTCAAAAAATGTCACAGTATAGTAAGTCATAAAAATTTAGTAATAGAATAAGGTATTGTGTAGTACTGTATAGAAAGTCTTACTACTCCACAAAGAAAGGTCCCAACCAGGACTTGAACCCAAAACATATGCACTGAGAGTTGACAGTTCTAACCACTGTATTGCTGTGCCTACCTTTTAAAAAAAAAAAAGACGTATATAATAGTAATGCATAAAAACATCGTAAAATAGTATGGCATAAAATTGTCATAACTCATAGTATAGTAAAGTATAGGGTGCTAGAATGCTGGCTGTCTTAGTGTTTAAAAGAAAAGCGCTCTTGGGGGCCCGCTAGCAGCCACGGTTATGCTTCCACTTTAGCCTTGGGCCAGCCTTTCTGTATGTTATTATTACAAAGAATACAAGTAGGGAAAGCATAACATGTTTCAAAGCTGCACAACATTGTTGAGAGACAGAGAGAAACATCAGAGCACTATTAGATGGGATAATACTTCCATCTAGTGGTAATTATTGGGTACATGCAGTTTAAACAAATCAATGTCCATGCTGTCAGTCCTTGCAAACACTACATCAGCCCATCTTTTAAGTGTTTAGTGTATAATTAATGGGTTGCAGATTTTAATATGTCTCTCATTGCTGTTATTTCATATCTACATTAACCATTGTGATGAGTCATTCTGAGCCCTGAATTATGCTTGTTTTAAGTATGTAAAGACAAAACATATGACATATGACACCGACACACATATATATGACACTGACCCACCAAGAAAGTGCAAAATCTTTATTATTTACTTTGAATAAATGCATATATATAGTGTGATAAAAACAGCATGAATAATTTATCTAATGTAATGTCATTTTCCAAGAAACTGGTTGAGAGCTTTATTTTTTGGATGTACAGTATTTAACAAAACACAGGCATTAATACAAAGTTAATAAATTTTTTAGGGAGTAGTAATGCATTTATTTCTGTTTTTCTTCAATGGATAATGTTATAATATGAATTAATGATGTCTAAGTACAGCAGACACATTCATAGTTATTCAGCTACAACTAAAAGCTTCAATTATGAGTGGCATGGTAAGAATGACCACTTAAATAAAACAAATTGACATAACACATACAGTTGAAAAGTTGTACACATATGGATATATGCTGTGGCAACAAAAACTATCTAGCCATCAAATATTTCTTAGTGTTTTTCTCTGGCCTCAAAAGAATAATGAAACACTTTGGGGCAAAAATGCAGAGCAGTAAACCATAGCTAGAGGCAAGAATGGCAAAAATTTCCACAGCAACAACATACTTCCCAGGAGAGCTAACGTAAGCTGGGACAAAGGCCACCCAGACAGCACAGAAGATCAGCATGCTGAACGTGATCAGTTTGGCCTCATTGAAGTTGTCAGGGAGTTTTCGAGCAAGAAATGCCAGGAGAAGGCAGGTGCAGGCCAGAAGGCCAATATAACCCAGTACAAGAGAGAAGCCCACCACAGACGCCATGGCACACTTCAGGGTGACCTTTGACCCTTGGAAACCAAGATCTTGTTGAGGCACAGGGGGGCTGAGGGACAGCCATATGGCACAGATGATAACCTGTATGAACAGTAAACAAATTATTATTCAATATTAAGTTGAGTTGCTCATGAATATAAAATCAAAGGTTCAGTAACACTTTTTAATACAACCTGGAATTTACAGTGTAATTTTGTTGTATTAAGTACCAATAAAACACTCAGCAGTTTCTAATGATACTGAAAGGTAAGGAGGAAGAGTATTAGTAACAATTGGGCATTTCAGAGGAGAGGGACAAAATAAATGATATCATGAGTCATGTTTTCCTCCACTTTACCTACATTTAAGTACCAGTAGCAACTAGTAAGTTCTTTATTGGTTCCTGATTCATACGACAAAATTAATTACTTGAAAAATTCAGGCTGTACTATTAAATGTGACCAAATGTTCTCAGTTTAATCAACAAAACAAAATTCACACCTGTATACAGGTAAAGAGGCAGACACTTCCTCTTTGCTGGCCTGGACCAAACCACTTCATCAAGGCTTCAGCACCAGGCCGAGCTGAGCGAAAAACAACCAGAACCACCATGGTTTTTACCAGGAGGCAGGAAACACAAAGTACAAAACTGATCCCAAAAGCTGCCTGCTGGAACCGACAAGCCCAGACTGATGGACGACCGATGAACACCAGCGAGCACAGGAAGCAGAGCTTCAGTGACAGAAGAAGCAAAAAGCTCAGTTCTGAGTTGTTGGCTCGCACCTATAGGTGAATCATATTAACAGAAGGAAAGAAATGTGAAAGAAAGAACTGATACAATAAACTGTTACATAAAGCTTGGTTCTTACCATTGGTGTTTGACGGTAGCAAACAAAAACCACAAACACAGCTGTTGTCACTGTGGCACCAGATACAGCTGCTGTAGTCAGAGTAATGCCCAAAGTTTCATTGAAGGAAAGGAAGTCCAGCTGGCGAGGGATGCAAGCAGTCCGTTTAGCATTGGACCAGAATGCAGATGGACAACGTTCACAGTGGGGGGAACCTGGAAGAGGAAGAAAGAGGATGGAGGGGAGGAAAATAAAACACAAAGGGGAAAATTAAGGTTGCAAACATGAGTTTCTGTGATGTTATGGAGTAATGTCCTCACCAGTTTTATTGCTAATCTCCCCTTCAGCACATGGGATACAGTCAAAGCAGCAAACAGGTTCCCCTTTCCTGGTTGCCATCCGGGTACCTGGGGGGCAGCTCTCACTGCACACTGAAACAGGAACCTAAACAAAGAGCCAAATAACAATCTCCAATCCACAATCAGCTGAACTGACATCTATTTCAACAGCAAATGTCTAAGTGGCTTGGTATGATTTGTTGATCTGACTACCTGACTGGATCCTGTGCTCCACTGAATAGCTGATTCGTTAAGGTGGACATCAAACCCATCCACACGACCAATCAAAACAAGTTTCAGTGGCCCCTCAGGAGTGTTCTGCCAGTTAACAAGGTCATACTGGGCTGGAATGTCAGCTCCTTGAAAATAAAACATTTCCCCTTGTGGTGTGGTGACATTCACTTTGTTCAATTGCTGCAACAGCTGAAAGCAACAAAAGGAAGAAACAGTTCGCATTTCAAAAAACTATGTATAAAAATGCACTTAAAGCATTCAGTTTAACAAAATATTAAGAACTCTTGTGGATAAGATGAAACAGTGATGAGCATCTTTACCTCTATGGGCTTGATGTGGTTTGGAGAGGAGCAAGTGGAGATGTTTCTCAGAGGGCTGTCTCTGTTAGGGCAGGAGAGAAGACTGTGAAGAGCATGGGCTGCAGCATAAACAGCAAGGTAAACATTATATGCCACCCTTAGCTGGGAGGTATCAGTAAAAGGATGCTGCACTCCATCCAAGGACTCTATGCCACTGCATGGGAGTAGAGATGCTTTCTGAAGTGACTCCTTGGCAAGAGATGAAACATCTGATGGATGGTCAGACTTTGCTTTGAGTGGTGAAGAGAAATATGAAAGTGAAGGTGTGTCCCCTGGACTGCAGCCAAACTCCTTCTCCCAGAATTCTCTTAAGAATTCATCATCAGGACGACGAACTGGATGCAAATTTCTGAGATAACTCTCAAATCCAGGTATTGTTGAACTTTTAATGGCCACACCAAGAACACCACTTGCCACCTTTGAGATGGCAAGATCTTGGAGAAGATCATCACTGGTACTCCAGGCCTCACTGGCCAGAAACTGTCTGTCAGTCACCTACAGTAAGAGGACACTCTTCAAAATAAATAAACTATGAAAAGACCTGACACTTTGATGTCATGAAATTTGTCTTATCTTCAGTATATATACATTTTCATGCCAGTTTCTCACATTTATTTTGGCCAGTTCCAGAAATATTTTCTTTGCATCTGTATACCAGCAAAAGATCAGAATCACCCTTGCAGTGGAAGCTTGAATTGTGAGTGCTGTCCGTCTGGCATCTCTCATAATAGTTTCTCTGTGAACAGTCTCTATGAATTCCAAACACACCCCTTTCCCTTGAACCTCTTCCTGAAATACCTGAAATATGGAGGTCAAAACAACAAATATGTCCACATATTTATGTGTGTGTATGTATATATATATATATATATATATATATTTGTACTTTATATGAAAGTGACATATATAAAACAAAAACACACACCTGTATTGCCAAATGACCATAGTCATTGTTTACGAGCACAGCTCCAATCCAAGTCCAGTGGAAGCGTATGGCCAGGCGTGCCATGGCCCGTGCTTGGTAAATATCACTGGGGATTGTTCTGAAGAAGTTAGGAAACTTGAGCCTGTCACTAAGACAGGGGCAGCTAGCCATGTAGCTGATCTGAGGAAAAGACATTTCAGAAATTATTATCTTTTTATCAAAATGTTTTTAAAAAACATATCAGCCTCTTGATGTGGACTATAAAAAACAACTCTTCAGAGGTTCATTTCCTAAGGTAATGAAACTCACAACTGGTACAGAGAGAGGTCCCAAGATCCTGGACAGAATTATGCCTGTTGTAGACGAGGAAGCACCAATGAGCAAAGGAATAGGCTGACTACCTGAGGACAGCATTAGACATATAAACCAGTCTTTTAATACTATAATCATGGATATAGTAAATGTTAAATGCATAGTAAATTATATCACGCCATACTTGTTTCTCCTGATTGTTCATAAGATGCAGAATGAGGCATAGAGGCTGTTAAGCTGCAGCTGCGTTTGTCTCCTCCAACCAGTGACAGTGCAACTTGCAGAGCCCAGGGGTATCGGCTACAGCCATCAACTATACGGTAGCCGAGCTTCACTCCTGGCAGCAGGGTGCTGTTACGATTGATTTCCTCCACTGCAAATGCCATGGCATACATATATTTTAATGACTCCAGATCTAACCTGAGACCACAGGAGAAGAAAGAAAGAGTGAATGAGACAACCTACAATATCAGTCAGTGAAAGGTCAAAGTAATCAACAATCAATGAATATAAAAACACCGGATATAAAAAAAATGTCATACATAGAAACATAAATGTTTTACATATAAATCTATTAGAATAAATATATTATAAACTGTCATGATATGCACAATATAATGACCACAAGACATCGTGTATAAAAACAGAGTGCATGTGAATACCCAGTGCAAGGTTCATAATGTGGCAGCTTGATGAAGTCCTTCTCTACAGGTGAAGGTATGTAATACAGATTAAAAATTCCACCGATAACCACATCTCCATCCTGCCAAAGGCTCTTGTTATTTGGTGCACCCCACCGGGAGCATACTACCGCCTGAACCACCTCCACTCCAGTCTGCCTGCCCACTACACTGAGAAGCAGCAGGGAGATAGCTGAGGAGGGCCACTGCGTGAGGAGCCAGGGCAACCAAGACATGGATGCAGCCGTTCTGGACATTCAAAACATTTAGGTAACTGTTATCTGAATGGCATAATATAGATTAAGCAGAAATGCAATAGATTCAGTCTGTGTAAAACACAATTCACCTCAAACCTGCTTCATCAAACTGGACAATAGAGTGCATTAAGTTAGGAAAAAATGCAGATACACCACAGACAATGTTCAACAGTTCCTGTTAGCAAAGGCAAATCCCATTAAATTCCACATGTCCAAATGTAACATCATAACGCCATGTCAGCTACCTGCAAAAATAACGAACAAGATTAGATAAGAGTAAAAAGCTCCTTTCACAAAGTAAATTGTTAAGTCTGAAAATGGTATCTAACATACCCCCCCTCCCACTCTGCGCAAGTGAAGTGTTGGTGTGAGTATTTATAACAGGTGTAAAGCCCTTTACAAGGAAGTAAAACTGATGACACAAGCAGCATGCAACTCAAAATTATTCCTCTCTAGAGTGATGGTGGAAAAACAAATGAGTGCAAGCAAGTCTGCATGAAGCTCGCAGTGGTGGGTGTATGTTATGTGTGTACTCTGTGTTTCTTATATTAATTCAAAATCTCATGTACTGACTATCTTAAAATTTGATTTACCACCTCTAGAGTTAACTTGGTGAACTTAACCACTGGATTGGTTTGTAAAATACTGGAGGATCTCATCTTGTTCTGCAAAATCTTAGTTCACATCAACTTGTAGAATTAGTTGATTTTTCCATGCACACTTTATATAAGCCTATAATATAAGAGCCTATAGATACTATAATACAAGAGCGAAGTTTCCTGCTTTTTCTATAGCTGGTGTTAGTTAAAGCTGGCTTCGTTTCAGATTGTTTGGTCTTTTCATGTCTTCCATAGTTATTTTCATTTGCTGTGGGCCGACCTAAATTAGGCCCTTTTAGCCTGAGCCTTTTTAGTTGTATGAATGTGACTGTGCGTTGTGAGTTGTCAATCATGTATCTGTCGTCTATTTCATTCATTTTATTTCTAATTTGCATAAGAAATAAAATAAGTGAAGTTGAATTTTCTTAAGTTGCAAATAAGTGTTGGCGATTTCAGGCCATTATTGTTTTGTGTAGGGTATTGTATTTATTTTAGTTTCTATTTTTTTATTGTTTTGTTAAGTTTGGTCACTTACAGTTAGTGTTTTGCTTGTTTGAGTGTAACCACACTAATTGTACAGCTGAAAGTTTTAATAATGACTTTGCTATAACTGCCTTGAAATTCTTCACTGATAGCTTTGCCTGAAATTTTAAAGTCTTCTGGCTCATTTTTAATAGCATCAGGTTAGAGGCCTTGTGTCTTGGAGTGGTGGCATCTCTTTTCCTGTGTGCTGTGTGCATCTGAACGCCCCTGGCCTTGCTCAGGGTCATGAGGGGGCACGGTTGTGGTAGAATAACAGAGAGCGCCAGCAGACAACCAACCTCTTGAGATAATGTGCGTGAACTAATAAAATAATAAACAGCCTAAATAAAAGTAGCATGATGGATGTATCCAAATGTCCAGGAGTAAAAGTGATGATTTTGCTTTAAAATCTACTCCAAGTATGAGTAAAGGGTATGTAAAGCTACTCCAACAAGAACTTAATTGTTACTACCCACCTCTGGATATAATGGTGCATGACTTGAATGACCCAAAGTAAATGAGATACTGTACCTCAGGACAAGTGAGTGAAATACTTAACTTTACTACTACTTAACTCTAATCTTAATGAGCTGAAAAGTGGAGATCAAACATGAAAGTTATTGTCCAGCTGCACAAGTTCTTTGCTTTGAGATTTCCAAGGAATATTGTGTTGTGATTTATCCATTAGACTTAACTAAGTGTGACAGTCTAGTTTGGAACCACTGTGGGGAATTGTATACCCAGAGCAACAGGTGTGCTGTTTGCTAGCTCTATTACACAGTAATTTCATGAGCAATTACATCCCATTATGTTTAAGTTGCCATATGGGAAAAGATGAGGCTGTTTGTGACTTAATAATAAATTGATTTTGAGCTTGAGCTGCATTTTTGATTGCTATGTGGCATTTTGAGTAAAACAGGAAATAAACAGGCAATTGTTTGAAATCAAATATTTCAATATTTTATTGCATTGGTAGGAAAATGCTCACAGTCCTCCGATGAGCAACAATACAAAGAAAAAAAAGGATGGTGTAACACTGAAATAATAATTTCACCCTTTGCCACCCTCCCCTCCTCAGCCTGGCCCTTTGTCGTTATCACTCTGCTTTTTCCATTTCATTAAGTTATACAAAATAAAATAACCAGAACCAACAAGAGATTATTTTTGCAGTCTGTATCAAAGCAATTATAAAAATAAAAACCTTTAAACTCCAAATCTTTAAAATTTGCAATCATTTTTTCAAATTCTACAAATCATAGAGCGCAACGAGTCCAAGCACAGAGGTTTATGTACTGTATTGCACCCGTTACAAACAAGCCTATGTCCTCCATTTGTGTTCAATGCAACTATTTGTTGTGTGCAAGTATTGTTGGGTGATGCAACATCTATTGTACAAACTGGTGCATAGTCATGCTTGACATGTTCACAGGTAACATGCACAAACATAAATGTACAGTTAGAATTGGTTCTCAACTAAAATCCATCTCGGATTAAAACAATGACAAGAATATTTACACACAACACAAATAAAGAAATACCACTTAAAACAGAAGGAAGACTTACATTTGATCTTTGAAAAGATGAATCCCATCTATTAAAAGTAGCTGTTTGATTATACTAAACATTCAGATGATACAATGAAAGACATTCCCTCTCTGCTTGAAACCCAATTCTTTTATTCTTTTTCTTTTTTGCTTCATAGTTAATGTACGCAGTTTGGACAGTACATCACAGGGACAAAGATAACAAGTATCTGTACAATCAGTCTAGGAAGCCATTTGGAGAGAATCAAAGTTCCCAAGTACATTTATACATTAAGCAGGATATAGACAATACACTGCCAGACTAGAAAGACCATTCACTATTGAATAGTGGAAATTTCATACAGGAAATTCATGCTGTCAGATCCAACCATGGATTATATGTGATGTTTCACTGATATTGTACAGAACCATATCTTTATCTAGAAATAGCCCAGAATAAGATTTGTTTAAGGGTTATAGGGGAAGCCTACTGGTCTGTGGACTTGGGAACAAATAGCAAGTCTATATTTCCTCGAAAATGAGTGTTGGATTCTTAATCTCATTTTAGGTTGTGATCAGAGCTACAGCCTGAGCAGGAAGTAGACCTCAGGCTCTGACTCAGAGTGGGTGGAGTTTGCATTTGGAAGAGAGTCATCGGTATAGTACCGATCTCCATGATGATCCCCATTTCCAAAATGTAATGATGTGCATGCTCCTTCAGGAAGTCCCCTGTCCTCCAGCTGACCAAGATAGCCTGCTATGTAAGAACCAGTTGAGTGTCTGTTAGCTGGCGGATTTTGCGAGGCTGGTTTATTCCTCAAAACCACTCCACCAATGCCGGTGGTACCGTTCATCACCACACCTGCCCGGGGCTTTAGAGCCTCTTGCTGCCTTTCACGGGCACGGCTGTTAATGTGACGCACTCGACTTTGACTCCGAGAAGATAGGCGACGGGTAAGGAGTGGAGGGGAATCTTCTGTATCCCTGGGAATAACAGGAGCTGTACTTGTTGCATGGGGCTGTGACAGTGGGAATTTTGCTTCATCATGCAACTGAGGAGACTGGGCCCTATCTCTGTCACTGTCATCCCCCTCCAGACTGACCAGTTTACGTAGCTGTTCCGTAAGTGGGTCACAAGACTGTGATTGGAAAGTAACTTCCCCCATAGTGCCCATCCTCTTTTGCTTCCTCATATGAGGAGTGATGAAACTGCGACTAATGATGTGGTATTTGCTCTGGAAGTTGCATGATATGTCTTCAGAGGTCAGGTCTCCCAAGGACTTGGACTTACATTGGCTGGGGGCTGTGGAGTCTGTGGGAGCAGACTGGGGACGAGTTGATAAAGGCCTCAAATTTGAGTGCAGTGAAACTGCTGTTTCAGGCTGTGACTGGTGCCTACAATTGATTAGGGAAACATTTTGGTTGCAAGACTGCTTCGGGGTGTGTGATTGTGTTTGACTCTGGCTGTGTGGCTGGATGTTTTGAGGATCTGAAGGCTCTGATGAGGGCGTAATGCAGTCATAGTCCAGGTGGCTGTACACTGCATCGCAGTCTGAAGAAGGGGAATATAGTCCTCTGTCTCTACAGATGTTTATAGAGCCAGCAGATTGACCAGGGAGGCTTTCAGAAGAGGAGAAACCTTCGTGGAAACACCTCACATGCTCCCTCTCCATCTGTTTATACCCTAGCCTGTTTTGATGAGACCTGTTTAGAATCTGGCTGCCACTATGGCTCCACTGTTGTGTATAGGAAGTGCTGGAGTCTCTGCTGTTGTTAAGGGCCTTAGAAATGCCCTGAGGAACGGAGAAGCTGTTCTGACACAGCGGACTAGGGTTGGAGGGTCTACAATTGACAGGTCTGTGGAACGGTGAAGGCTGGGAGTTGTTCTGGTGTTGGTGGTGATTAGATAGCTCATAGGAAGGTTGATTCATTGGGGAGGGACACTGTGAAAGTGCTACAGGAGATGCATGTGATGGGTACTGATCACGGTATGACGAAGGCTGCTTTTGTTGGGAGTATTTGGGAGTGGATTCATGGTTTTGGTAGATAGCATGGCGTTTGGTTGGACTTATGAGCCCCTCCCATTGGCTGCCATGTCTTGGCGAGGTCAGCATCATATCCAGTGGATCCTCATCAACATTAATCTCTACTTCTGCAAAAGCATTTCTAACCGAGTTATGGATAAACTGAAAACTGCTGTTTACAGAGGAGCTCATGTACCTTTTAGAAGTATTCCATTCTATCTCAGGTATCTCAGGTACAGGTGCTGGGGGATCATACACTTCCTCATATACTCTTTCCTCTGCCTCCTCAGTTTCTTCACTTCCACCCCTCTTTCTGAGCATATCATTCCAACCCACGTTGTGCCCCCTTCCAAAACCCTGAACCACTTTTGCTGGAGACGAGCCCAAGCTGTTTGAGGGCATGTTCTCCATGGTGTCTGCCTGAACATGGACTGTCTTTTTCCTCAGGTTGTACACCGATACAGGCAACAGCACCTCCTCATCCAGAATGGTGTACACCTCCTCAAGCTCAGCAGTTTCTGGGCTGGAGAAGACGGCTGATGCAGGTATATCTGTCTGAGAAATCTTGCACGGTGAAAGGATTTGATCATTTACATGATTTGTTATTTGAGCTACCTGTTGGGGACTTATCAGTTGTTTCCTATTATGAGAGGCTGTGTTGTTCTTGAGAGGAGACCTTAAATCTTGCAGCACTTTAGGGGTGGTAGGTCTGAAGTTTGAGTGATGGGAAGGAGTGTGATCATGAGATAATGTTGTGAAATCATTTTGGTCAACGGTGGTTTCAAATTGGCCAATAAGAGCAGAAATGGAGCCACGTGTGTCCTGCTCATTGCCTAAGGACACAGCATCAATGAGTCTGGAGATGGTGCTGTCATGCAAAGAGCTGGGACTCTTCAGATCACAGTCCATACTGACAGGAGAAAGAGGGGCCACAGTGGAGGGGGCAGAAGAGGAGGATGAGGAGACTGAGGGTGCAACTGTGAATGTTGTGCTGTTGGATGATGTCTCGGGTTTATCTGATGTCATCTTGTTGTTCACGGAAGGTGAGACTAAACCGTTTTTCTCTTTTCCTGTGGAGATGTTCTTTGATTTGTTGACTCCATTGTCTTCTGAATGGTAGTTAGCATAGTCTTCTTCTTTTCTTATATCTCCTCCACCAATAACCAGATAAGAAGCCTCCTCTGATTGGCCAAATTCTTTATTCCTGTATGTCTTAGAAGGGGAAGTGACACTTGGTTCAACAGAAAACGATGATTGGACAAGAAGGTCTACAGAGGAAGACCTGGGCCTGTTGAGGGGGCAAACTCCTGTGGACACAGATGATTGAACACGGAGATTAATAAAGACAGGCTTGTATAGTATCATATGATGTTGAACACCAAGCCAATCAACAAGTAAATGACAACAATTAACAGTCCAGCCAATACAAGGCAATAGCAATACACAGACAAATGGATCACCAAATACAACCGTGAAGGGGAAGCTGGAAAATGAGGCCGTGGGGGTTAAAAAAAAGGAAGAATCCACGTTTGCGAACATCGGATTAGGAAAGAGATGGTCAAATGGAATTGGATTGGTCAAATGGGATTCAAATGACACAGCAATATATTTCTCAAACCACTTTCAAACAAAATACACTGGGTGGACGCAATACTGATATGTTTTTGAACGATGCAACCTTCAGACAATAGGTATTTTAGATTACCTGCTGGAACATCCTAGTCAGTTCTCTACTATAAAGAAGCACAACAAATGAAGATGGGACAGAAAAAGCATGTTAAGGTATCAGGTGGGGAGTAGGCTCATGTACATTAACCATGAGTTTAGTAGGATAAGTAAAGCAAAGACGAGAAATCAGAAAAAAGTTACATCTTGTATCAAACAGTGAGCAAAGCAATTCAAGGCAAAATGTTACTTTAATACAAGTTAACTACAAATATTTTATCACAAAAAAGTAGCACTGAATTACTTGGATAAAAGAGTAAAAATGTTCCCAAAGCCAAAAGTGAGTGTAATTAATGAGACAGATTACTGAGACTTGGTTTGTGCCAGTATTTGATAATGATTTGTCAATCGCACAGATTTCTTTTGCTAGAATGGATGTAATTTGGGTGTAATTTTCATAATACCAAAATATGTTACCCACCAATGACAGTGTCTGCTCCCATATCATGCTGTCCCTTGTCTGGGGAACAGAGGGATAGCTGCCCTTGCAGAAGCCTGTCTAAGGGCATGGAGATAGGTCTGTGGATGAGGGGGGCTCGGGGCTGGAGACGCTTCTCCACCCCTCCTTCCTTCCCTGACACGCCCTCTCTTCCTGTTCCTGCACCTGTTCCGTTCTTTTGGTCTGATATCGAAGCCACCGACTCCGATAGCACCATCTTGGTCTTCTTCCGTCCTTTTGCTGGGGCACTGGCTGTGCGCCGCAGGAGGTGATCACTGAGGGAGCGTTTCCGAAGGCCACCGGAGCTTGTATCCACAGAGGACTTGGAGGAACGGTTAAACAAACCCCGGATACCTCTCAGTTGATGACCCTGAGGGCAAGAGGAACGGAACAAGAAGGAAATGAGTGGGGAGAAGAGAAGAGGAAATGTTCTTCTCAGAAAGACACAGAGATGTATTTTTGAAGACAAGTTTTTACACATTACAGTTTGAATTGTTAATTTTCACGAAAACAATGAAAAGAGATGCAATGTATTGAACTTAGTTAACAGCAAATGTAACAGTTGCATGCTGTTACATGCATGGCCTATAGATGGCACCCTTACTCCTTAAATTACCACAGCAAACAATCTGCAAGAAGCTGTTGTGGATTATGCATGCTTAAACTGGAAATTATTCCACCCTTGTTGACAGTGAGACAACAAGACTTGTCAAAGCAAAAAAGAATCCCAAATAAAAACGGACCTTATAAACAAACTGTTTGACTCAGTGGTTTAATGTCACACACAAACAAGTCATTGAAGATACGGCTGAACACAAACTGCACTTTTGCATCATGCATTACTGTTTCATGCAGCACCACACAGAGCCTATAGGGCATCAGGATACCTTGTTAGATCCTAGAAAGTGCATTATGGTAAAGCTGGGGTTCAGGACTAGAGGACTCCACTAGAAAGACAGAGGATTGAAGGAGCATAGCTTCAATGGATTGATGTGTTTTTCTGTTTAACTCCAAAATATAATCTCAGTTGACAAAAGAGGCTCATAGTGCGAATGCTAAAGTATCACCAGGACTATACAGCACCTACCTTCCCATAGACATCATGCACTGACACATGCACAAAGATGGAAGCCTCAGTCAGCCCCTCCAAGTAAACATGCCTGTAACCTGTAGTTGGACATGAAGGGAGAAAGCATGTGAGCTTGAGAGTGAGTCAAAGAAAGATAACAGCTGTCATTAGATTGGTGATTGTGTAGTAGTTGTCTGAGGAGAGGGAATCAGGAGTTCAGGGACAACTATAATGGATGTGGACGACAATAAAAAAAAAAAACTCTGGCAAGCCACAGGTCTTTTACAATAGAAATCAAACAAACCATGGTTCACTACGCACAAGA